CATATGCGCCGTAGTATAAAATTAGCACAGCTTCGAAGAGATCAAGCTGAAGAAAAAAAAGATGGTCCATCATATGGAAGTGGACTTTTTATATGATATTTAGAAAGTACGCAGATTCTGAGAAAAAAAATATTTTTCATTTATTGGCATTTTAACAATATTTTATTTTCATATAAATACATTAATGCAATTATCTCAGAACTGTTTTTTTTTCAGATTTTGAAAACATTTAAAATGCTACGGCTTTTTAACTATAATAGTTAAAAGCTAAAATTATTTTTTTCTAGCAACATAAAGATGTATTAAAAAAAGTATGCATTTATTTTTTTAATTTTCTTATGAAAATTTTATAAAAAAATACATTTAAAAAAAATTTTTTTTTTGGTGTAAATTCATCATATTTATTTTTTTAAGAAAATAAAATCTTTATCTAAAATTGTAATGCATACTTCTATTTAAATATTATTTAAGATTTTGTATATTAATTTTTGTTCAAAAATCTTGAAAAATGAAGAAGTAGGAATTTTAATATTTCTTGAAAATTCATTAAAATTTAATTTTTTAAAAAAGTATGTTAATAATTTCGGTCTTTTGAACTCTTAAGTAGTTATTTTAAATGTGGTCTACAAGGTATAGAAATTTGATTATAGTTCATGCAAAAATAAAAAAAAAGTTGTGAAGGTATCGGATCCCCTTAAGAATACTGAAGCTTAGATTTTGAAAAATACCAATTTTTATATTGCAACACAACTGTTGCAATGTTACAGTCCAGTGGAAACATACTTTCCATACTTGTAACCATTTATATTCATTAAAAACACTGTGTCCATACTTGTAACCATTTATATTCATTAAAAATCATTATCTATGGCATGACTTCACAAGTAGGAACAACAAATTCGATTGTCATATGAACATTTCAGTTATGGCCTAAAGTATCGTTTTTCATTGGTATAATTTTATTTGAATGTGAAAAATATTTTTTAGTATTCATCTATGATTATCATTCAAATTAATATAGAACTTTCAAATATTGTTGTACAAGGGATATTTTGACTCCATCGACATACGTAGGTAAGTTTCCCCTGTCGACTGTGGTCAGAGTTGTGTATGAAAGTCAAAAAATAGAATGAGACTTTAAAGATATTACATACCTTTATTTTATTATTCTCATACGAGTAAGTTGAGACATTTGTCATATCGCTTGATAAGCTTTAAAAATTCCTCCAAGAAAAATTCCTGCTTTGCATATGCAAGAAGCGTTGAACGGCTATGGGCGAAAGGTGACACAGCAGGAAAACGCACAAGTCACCGATACACCATTGGGTAGAGGTCACTGCAAATCAAGCAGATGGCGCTGTTGCAGTGCCTGCGCAAAGCGGAGACCAGCCTCTCATTTGAGCCCCGGTAGGTATGGAGAGAAGGTGCGTTTTGAATTCGTGGTCAAAGGAAGAAGTGAGAGCGGTTATCCGCTATGAATGTGCACGTGGAGTATCAGGAACAGAAATTCATAACCGCCTCGTGGAAGTCTATGGGCCAGGTGTGATGTCGAAGCAAATGGTGCGGAGATGGTGTCGCACATTCAGTGATGGACGTCAGCAAGTGGAGGACATACCGAGAGCTGGACAGACGTGCACGGCCACTACAGATGCAAATGTCAGGAAGGTGGATGACATGATTAGAGCGAACCGGCGTATCACCATCAATGAAGTAGTGGGAGAACTTGGAATCTCACATGAGCGAGCTCAAAACATCACCCACGACATTCTTCGATACAGAAAAGTGTCAGCACGATGGGTGCCCCGACAATTGACGTCGACACACAAGGAACAACGCATGGGGGTCAGACTGGAACATCTCGTGTGTTACCATGAAGATGGCAATGACTTTCTGTTTCGGATTGTGACGGGGGATGAAACGTGGATCCACCATTTCACGCCAGAATCGAAGGCCACATCTATGGAGTGGAAACATCCGTCATCACCTGTCCGAAAGAAGTTCAAGACAACTCACTCTGCAGGTAAAGTGCTCCTCACAGTTTTCTGGGACGCCCAAGGAGTTTTGTTGCTGGACTTTTTGGAGGTTGGAACCATCAATGCTACACACTACTGTGACACCCTGTCGAAATTGAAAGAGGCGATTCAGAAAATCAGCCTGGCCTTCTCACATCTGGCGTTCTGCTGTTGGATGACAATGCCAGACCACATTCAGCGACAGCAACGCAAAACCATATTGCAACTCTTGGTTGGGAGCGCCTACACCATCCGCCATACAGTCCTGATCTCGCACCAAGCGACTTCCATCTGTTTCCGGCTTTGAAGAAAAATCTCGGGGGAAGGCGCTTTGGAAGCAATACTGAAGTGAAACAAGCCGTTCAACGCTTCTTCCATATGCAAAGCCTTGACTTTTTCCTGGAGGGCTTTTTGAAGCTTATCAAGCGATATGACAAATGTCTCAATGTACTTGGTACCTATGGAAAAATAAAGGTATGTCATATCTTTAATGTCTCATTCTATTTTTTGACTTTCATACACAACTCTGACCACAGTCAACAGGGGAAGCTTATTTTTCAACTTACCCTCGTACGTTTATCATACGCGGAAAAGCAAAATATACATGACATCACACCTCTTGGAAGCTGAAGACTATTTTTTACTCATCAACACTGGATTATGGTTGGTGATCTCGGTGATATGTACTAGGGAAAAAGAAATAATGTAGTCTTACAACAAAACTTTATCCACCAGGGGAAAAAAAAAAAAAAAAAAACCTCATACTATTGGTAGGACAGAGAGATGACCTAAAACATAATGTTCATTTTTATTGTGCTTGGAAAACTAACCTTACTTTTTAAAGAAATCCAGATATTTAAATGAGACTGCAACACAAAACTGCAGAATTTAACTTAAGGCCAGTTTACATCTGTCAAAGCAGCTCGTAACGAGCCGCTCGTCCAGGCGTTTCAAACCGAGTGAATGGACCTGTACTCTGATAGATTGCTTACACTAATCAGAGTGGACTGACAACTCGCCTCCGTTTGTTTACGAAATGGATATCGACGTCGCAACTGCAGGAAAGAATATGCATTGAATGTACATAGATGTTCTTAGGCTGCAGCGCTTGAAGTCTGCGAAGCAGTTTCAAACAAATTAATTTCTGCTCTTGGGAGGGGGGGAAAAAAAAGAAGGAAAAAAAAAAAAAAAGGGTACGTGATTGGGTAGCTTGCCACGATGAATTAGGAGTATCAAATGAACTATTAAATGAATTTCGGATGAGAATGTCCAAAGTTACAAAAATGTTATTGCATATCAGATACAAGAATTTAAAAGAAACTCAGATTGAGAGAAGTTATTTAGTCAACCGTGGTTACTGAAATTCAAATTAACAAAGTTTTTCTACTATATACAACTGTTTATTTTACACCTAATTATCATTACAAAATAATGTAAAAGTAATAATGTGTTTTATTATATTAATAGAAAGAATATATTTATTCATCCAGAATCCACAGAATCAGTAGCTCTCTGTGCATGAATTAATTATGCAGAGTTCTGACTGGAACTGTGTTATTTCTAGAGAAGAATGCAAAATTAACACATGGAATATTTATTCAAAGCTACTGTTCGATGTTATGCAAATTGTATTTCTTTCTTTGTACCGAGGAGCGGCGCAGACGCAAATTTGTTAGGTTTTTAAAGCTCGCGTTTAGAGCTTTGAGGTTGCTGTGAATTACTGGAGTTTCAACTAAGCAGGTCTTCTGAGTTGTGTTTGGTAAGCCGCCACTGAAGTCGGAGTTTGTGTGGTCTTCGCCGTTCCCTCAACTAACTTACTCTATGAAGTCAATAAAGAAGTTTCGGTCAACGTTATGAGTCTGAGGTTTTTTGGGTTCTACTACTGAAGTAATATCAAGTCAATTTTACAGTCCACTATTTTTAACAATGGAACGACAGCTACCATTACACGACAGAAGTAAACTGTATAATATCTACCTAATTATTTAGAAAATCTTAAATAAGAAGTAGCAAAAAACTTGGGAGCATTACATACATTACCACAGGTAAAAGAATATACATATTGTGACATAGTTCCAACAGGAAAGATATTTACCGCAAATTGTTACTTTTGGATCCTACTGAAATTGTGTTTCTAGACAATACACAAACTGATATCAACAAAATTAATAATGATTAAATATAGCTGATTATGCTTTACTTTTAAAATGCTAAAACGGATAGTTTAAGAAGATTAGAATTCATCTAGTATAATTTGTATAAAACCTTAATACACCTTCAGTACTTGCACTCACACATCCAAGCTGAACATGTTTCACATCCAAGCTGAATTGTAACGAATTATAGCCCAGAATGTTTTTATACAAAGCAAGAAATTTAAATATCCCCAATAAAACAGATCTACATATCTTTTTCATATTTTATTTTTATTTTTATAGTTTATCATATATTTATTGCACCTTCATGTAGGGATGCTTGTAGAAAAATGAATATAAGCTCACATAATTATAGAAGTAAAACACTTCATAAGAAGCGTATGCATTAAAAAATGCCATGGTTTGGCTATCGCTTAATCTCGGATTATAGAACTCACTGTCACGATGTCCCTGCGAACGCTGCTCGGAGTAACTGCCCGGAGAGATTTTTCAACAGGTTCAAAGTAGAAACGGAAGCGCTGACTCATCTTCCCTACGTTTTGTACTCCGTCGAAGCGAGCGTTTACATTGTCAAAGTAATCGTAAGGAGCGACTCGCTCCGAGCCGCTCTGACAGGTGTAAACTGACCTTCATCAAAGTGAAATGCTTGAGTTTAAACTGATTCTTCAGTTTGTAGTAGCTACAATGCTACTCATTTAACATACTAACAAGAAATGGAAATTTTTAAACCTCCATATATGTATCATTAACTTTTAGTCTTTATACATGATTAAGCCTCCTTCATGTATAAGTTTTTACATAGCTCATAATTTTAAATTGCCAAAGAACTTACATTTTGGAGGTGTCGATGGATAGTCATCCTTGAAAATCATTCTTAATTTATATAAGCCTCCTTCCCATGGAGTCTAAAACAAATAAAAAGTATAATTATTACAGAAGAAAAAACATTCAATATGAATATTTACAAATTTTTTAAGTTGTAACCCATTTCACGCATAAGTCTTATGAACAGCATTTTAATATTTATTAAAAGTAAATCCATGTTTCTAATGAAAGTACATGCTTTTAACATTAAACCTTATAAAGATAAAAATTAAGTTACAAAAAAACATTTTTAATGGTAACTAATAATACAGAAATCTTAATACACGGCCTGTCAACAATTTTTCCATATTCTGCCCACAAGGTACAAATGTTGTTATTTATTTCCAAAATTTACTGTACTATTATCAGAAATGAAAGAATAAAAATAATAATAAAATATTTGCAAGACCTTTGTCTTTTTGTAGAGGAGGAATGTGTGATACAATTCTTCCCTCAGCTTGACAGATGTGTATGCAAGTTTGAAACAAACATTTGTTAATATATTATAAAGAGCTGATGTGTCAAAATCATGTTCTATTACAATTACAATAAAAAATTCTTTATGCTTTGGCATCTGGCAATCCTGAGAACACAGAGCAGGTGAAGCTTTCAGCATTAGTTGCTAATGTTTTCATATGCTTAACTGAATGCTTTGTTTAATCTTTTGGTGACTTGGCAGCAGGCATGCAATATTTTTATTCCATTACAGCCACTGTGTTAAACTAAAGTGTGAATTATGAGTAATGTGAAGAAAATTCACCACCATCTTTCAAAATGCTTGGCTTGAAATACCCATTTTTGAGAAATGACAACAAAGAATGAAAACAGACAAGACTGAAGCTTATTGCGAGCTGTGTAACCTTATTGCAGCAATGTGAACTGAGAATGCAGAAAGCTTATTTAATGAAGCAGGGTTACTTCATTAACACATGGTTCTCAATAATAATACTTCTCTACTGCCTCAAAGTATTATAAAAACTTCACTTAAAAAAGTGCACGAGCATTTGAAACTTTCTATATCTGGAGCTTGTCATACAGCTATATTGTCCACGAAGCATTTGAATGAATGTTTTAAGATAGAAACATTCTGTTTTACACTATTAAGAAAGTGTAAAACAGAGTTATGGACCTTAATACTAGTGATTTTATTGCTCTACACATTTTAAAGTCAGTTTTTTCCCGAAATCTATAGTGATACTGTATCGATTTCTAGCTTGCACACCACATATAAAGTACCAAAACAGAGTTGTCATTGTCTGAAAATGGGCAGTAATATATAACATAAATATGTATATTAGTGTGTTGTAATGTTGTATACAGTATTCATGTATCAACTGTTAAATTAAGTTACATAAAGAGCCCTTAAAGAAGGTAATTCATTACAATCTCTTGGTGATTTACTGAGTTTTTTTTTTTTTTTTTTTTTTTTTTTTTACAAGTAGAAGATAAAATTTATAGCAAAATAATAAGTCAAGTATTATTTTAGTTTAATTATATGTATAATACTTTTTATATTAAAAGGTGGGCGTGCGCATTTAGATTTTGTGTAGTTTTGTGTCCGCGCGTTGTTCAGTTTTTTTTTTTTTTTTTTTTTTTCCTACTTGCACTTTCATGCCTGAAAAAAGGAACTTGAAAATTTCTCTAAACTATTGTCGAATGAGAAACTTTAAGATTTTCTGTCGAATGAAAGACTCAGTTGGAAGTTTATTATAGAACAAGGGGCTTGGTTGGGAGGCTTCTATGAGAGATTAGTAAAATCAATGAAATAATGCTTAAGAAAAATTCTCGGTAAAGCCTTACTAACGTTTGAAGAATTGCCAATGGTTCCACAAGTGGAAGCTGCTTTGAATTCTCATTCTTTGACCTATGTATACAATGACGACACGGAACTATTGCCACTGAAGCCAGTCAATTTCTTGATTTTTGGAAAGATTCTACATTACCTATTAACTTTAACTCCATTGTTAAAGATGGCTGTACCAAGTCCTCTCTGACCAAAAGAAAAATTTATCCAAATTTATTGGTTAGACATTTGTGGACTAAATGGAAAAAACAATATTTGATGGACCTTCGGATGGCTCATCAATTGAAAAATCCCAACGTTTATGATGATCTTGTCTTAATAGAAGGCAACAATGAGTACAAACTTTTGTGAAGCTGTGATAGAGTGATAAACGTTTTTTGTGGTCATGATAACAATGTTTGTTTTGTGATCTAAAAACTTCTGATGGAACAATAATAAAACGACCAGTTCCAATTATTATATCCTTTAGAACTTTAAAAACATTTTTTTATTGTTTAATAATATGAATAAGTTTGAATATGTTTTATGCAATTATTTATTTTTCTAGTTTAGTTTTATATGATTAGATTAAGAATAGTTTAGATTTACTGAAGTAGTGTCAAATTGTATTTGATAATAACATACATTTTTTTACGAATTTAGTATAATGATTATAATTTGAATATATTTTCTATTCATTTAATATGCTTATTAATTGTTTTATAATTATATGTTAAAATACCTGACATAAATTTGATTGTTGTTGTTAAATTAATGTGAACTCTCGACAGAGTTCAGGTGGGGAGTGTTTTGAAATTATTTTGATTGATAGATGGCACTAGCATCACGTATTAAACGTGACATGCCTTCTGAATTTCCATAGACTCTCCACCGGCAGCTAAATAGATAGAGACATAGATGCTTAGCACACTAAGATTTCGATTGTGAAATGTTTGATAACTGAACCACTATGCTTTAATTAATGATCTGTATATAACGTATACATATTACATTTTAAAAACTATTTGATGTCGAGTCTTCTCAACCTTAGAATATTTTGAAACATATACTCCATCATTCAATGTTCTTAATACAGTTCTGTAGCTAAAAAATCCATCAATTCACGTTAACTGATTACAAATTTGTTTAAAGATATTTTATCTAAGTTTGCAGAACCAATCCATTTTCCCTTTTCTTTTGACTTTATATTCATGTGAAATGGAAAGAATATAAGGGGGTATAAGGACTTATCAATAAAGGTTGAAGCTAATAAAATATGAAAAAGCTTACGAGAAAGATAATTTTATATACATTAGAAGTTTCTTTTGATGAATACGTGATTACATACTATGTAAATTTCCAATAACAGAAGTAATTTTACATGTGAATGTTGCCTAGTCTAGCAACATGTGCATTTTTTTTAATATACTTTTGCTTTACCTTACATAAATCTGCGATTTTTCTTAATTTAGTTTATTTTTGCTTTTTATTTTACAGTTTTACTTTATTTAGACTTTAAAGATGAAGACACTGATGTTGTAAGAGATAAACTGCAATTACAATAAGAAAATTTTAATATAGAATCAACAAGAAATGATGCTTAATTGAATCTAATTGGAAAACTAAAAAGAAGAGATGTAATTTTAGAGTGTAAGAAATCCTCTAAAACAGCAGTTCACAACTTTTTTTGCCCTCCACACCCTTTTTCCCAGCTTGTTTTCAAAATTTGAAAAATTCACACACATTTATTTAAATTACGATTACTTTTTCATGTGTTTTATAAGTTAAACAAATATATAAAATATTGATAAATACTAAAACGCAAACAAAAGCAGTTTTTTTTAATAGTCATAAACTAAAACTAAATATTTAACAGACAAATAAAAGATTGATCTCATTCTCCTCCTGAAACTATGAAATCCTTCCTTATCACAGAACCCATGCTTAAAAATAATCAACCTATAGACCCCACAGAATATGAGAAGAATTTTAGCATTATGAGAAGTTATTAAAACATGGACTAGATTCAGTATGAATGATGAAATACTGGAAACATTTTTAACAGTTGTAAAAAGACCTGCATGAAAATTGATTCTTTTCTAATGAAAACAAAATTGCCCACTGTTAATAACAGTGGGATGAAAATCAAACCTATTTTTCTACAACACTTTTCAAATAATAAAATTGAACATAAGAGCATTCTTGTATCAACTGCATTTAAAAATAATAATGGAAGCACTTACATTATTATGTCAGCATAAGACAGCAAGTGTCTATGTTTGGATCATAAGAGTATTCTTGTATCAACTGAACTTAAAACTTATAATGGATGCACTGTGCTGTTGACAAACAACATACACTGAAAAAAAAACACCTCGATGTTTACAGACAAAAGTCTTGTATAGTTACAGAAATGCGAGCAATTACGAAGGAAATACCTGTAACGAACACAGAACCGAACCAAACTGTAAACTCAACAGGAATTTTTCAAGAAGTTTTGCTTTGATTTTGTCCGTAGCGTGTGATCACGTGGCTTAAAACAGCTGAGAGAAAAGAACCAATCAGGAAAAAGGTGAAAAAAGTGTTTTAGAGGGAGAGTTCAACGATAGTCGCCATGTTAGCCATTATTTTTGCTATGGTGTCATATGGTCGAGGTAAGTTCGAAATCAGTGTTTGACGTGTATTTTATTAATTTTATGTAATGTATTTGTTATGTTCTTTACACTATCTATAATTAAATTCTTTTAATGTTTAGCTTATAATTCTAATGCTCCTAAATAAACCTGTTTTAAATGATTGTTAGATATAGTTCAAATCACAGAGCTTGTGTTCCATTTAGTAAAATAACAACAACTTTTATTTGTTACATCTGCAGGTGTATGCAGTTAAACTGCTCATATTTCAAACCAGAAAACAAATTTGCTAATATGTTAGCTTCAAAACAAATAAGCTTAATATTAATGTTCTATCTATAGTCTAATAATTTCTCATGTTAAATATTTATGTATCTTTTAAAACATATCGCGTTAGAATATGTATATTTTTCATTTTGTGGGCAGATGTAACATTATTATTCCATACATGTTATCATTAATCCGAGCGGGAACGGCGTTAATTATTTTTCAGAGCATTATTACACTATGTATGTTATTAATCTCAACAAAATAGAAAAAATAAATGTAATATATTTAAAAAATTTGTGAAAATAACAACATACATTAAAAATGGAATATTATTTCATTAATACATGCAATAAGTTCGCCTTAAAAGATTATATAGGCGGATAGCAATTACATATTTGTAAAAGTATTCAATGTATATTATTTTTTGTGTTAAG